CCTCTTTGGGCCGATGTGGTATTTCGATGTCCATGTTTCATGGCCGAGCTGAGGAACTCGGCAATGATGAGTTTACTGCTTGGTCAGGCTGGTAAACCTTTGATTGAGTCAATAGATTGGTGAAGGAAAAGTCGGCAACTTGGCTGGCCAGTACACTTGCCCCCCAAGCACCGAGTGATGTAAGAGCGAAGGGGCTTCTGAGGAGCTCCCAAATTTGTTGTTTGAAGGTTCAAATTTGACCTTGTTAAGTAGATGTGATCTTCAAGGGTCAAGCTTGACCTTGGTTAAGAAAATATGATCGCAAGGTTCGGACTCGACCTTGGCATAACAAGGTTCAAACTCGACCTTGGTTAAGGAAATGTAGTCTCAAGATTCGGACTCGACTTTGGCATAACAAGGTTCGGATAGTACATTAGCCCCTCGAGCTCCGAAGACCGTAGGTCAAGGAGTTAAGGCCGAGCTCGCTGGGAAGAGGTGACCTCTCGCGTATGTTTGCTCGTTGTGGTGACACGTGTCGCGACTGTTCATTTCCCGGAAACGTGCAAGTAGCGTGCCATGGGAAATGACGGTTATGCAATGATGAATTTGAGATTAATTGCGTTGTCAGGCGTGCCCTTAGGTTGACGCGTGGCATTGCCGCTTTGAATTTTGGGGGAAAACTGTCTTTTCTCTCATACGCGCCTCTTCGCTTCTCACTTTGCTCACTTTTCGCTTTTTCAGCTTCTTGCGTACGCTGTTCCTCTCGTTTGTCTGCTCGTCTTCCGTCTCCATTTTCTCCGTTTCTGCCGTTGTTTTCGGTAACCCAGTCACTGTTAGGGTTAATTTCTGAGGGAGAGTACCAGGTACTTCCTTTCTAAAGTCTTCTTTTTCCTTCTTCCCCAACCTTCTTCAAGTCTTTCTTGTCTTTTTCATGGCTGGGGGGAGTAGAGCCGGTTCTTCTGCGCCTTCTCACAAAGCCGACGAGGGGCTCCATGTGAGGTTGAATGAGAGAGTGGGGAACGTCTAGCTTGAGGAACGTAGGCCAATACAGGACGTCGACTGAGCTTCCCTGGTCAAGGAGTGTTTTCTGCACTTTCCAGTTGGCTATTTCCACAACGATGACCATGGGGTCATCTTGGTTAGGGCTGACGCCGGCGTAGTCTTCGTCGGAGAAGGAGATCGGCGGTGAGCTTTGGTGGAGGGCTGGGGTGGTAGAGTGGACGCAGTTGATGCTCCGCAGGTGTCTTCTTCGGGCCGAGCTGCTGGCGCCTCCTCCAGCAAAGCCACCTGCTATTGTGTTGATTACTCCCCGTAAGGGGGCTGATAAGTGCTATGATTTCATTAAGTTTATGGCCTAGTTTGAAGCACTTATATCAATTTTCCTTGCTTTAGA